AGTAGTATAGTAAATGTTGCCATCTCACTCACTCACTTATTTCTAACTCATCTCGCAATATATCGCTCCTCTTGTTCACTCATTTCGCAAAAACTCATTCGTTTAACTCACTTCATTCACTTCATTCACTTCATTCAATTCGTTCGATTCGTTCGCTTCGCTCACTCATCTCACTCATTTTCATTCAGTTCATTCAGTTCATTCAGTTCGTTCAACTCATTCGTATTGCTTCAATCGTTCACAAGTAGTCGCTCACATTGCTCGAAGAGTTAGAAATAAGTGAGTGAGTGAGATGTCAACATTTACTATACTACACAATAATAAAGTAGTGTTAGAGATATTGAATCAGAAAAAATAAATTTGATTTAAGAAATAAAAAATAAAATAATAATATAGTAAGCAATGTCTCAACAAATTTTTACTGATAAACAACTTCAGAGTTTGTCTTTGGAAGAATTAAAAAAAATTTTATCACAAAAAAAACAAAAAGTTAAGAAAGATTATAAGGAATTGGAAAAAAAGATGAAAGTTATTGAAAAAATAAAAAAAGTGAGTGAATTTGAAAATAAAATTAAACAAGGTAAAGTTAAACCAAAAGTTAATTCAAAAAAGATTAAAACCAAAGTTAAACCAAAAAAGATTAAATCTAAAGTGGTTACCAAAAAGATAAAATCATTTGAGGATTATTTTGAGGAATGTATAAAAAATAGGAAAATTCCTAAAGATACTCCGGACTATTTACGAAAAGCTCTTGAGAGAGCTATAAATGAGTATGAACAAGGAATTGAAATTGAAAAATCAGCTCTAAACGAATTTGCTAAAAAATATATTATCAAGGGAAAACCAGGTATTTTACCTCTTCAGTTTTTTAAAATTAAAAAACGTGTTATTAAAGATTTTTTGAAAAATCATCGTAATACTAAAGTAAGGTTTATTTTAGTTTGTATTATGGAAAAAAAGGAAAAAAAAACAAAAGATAGTAGTTTAACTTTTAAAGTTCAAGATAAATCATATTTTAATTCTATTACATTCAATAATTTTACATCATCTG